TAACTTTTACAAAGTTCATAACAATTTCAAGTGCTCGTGAGAGGTAAGAAGGTTCAAATAGATAGTCAATTCAAACAATTGGGTAAGGCTTGTAATGTGGTTGCCAAAGAAATAGGATTACAGTCTTAAAGGGGTCAACTAGGATACATAACAATTAGGTGGATAACAACATATAACTGGCTCAACAAAGAAACGCCTATATCACTTCCAAGACTGAATAAAATTACTATTTCGCTTTGCAAACATACGGGACAAGTTCTAGACATCAAATGCAATGCACAGAATACACGAAACCTCACACACACATGGCGCATAACTCACTCAGGATCAGACTCATCGAGACACTCTAGTCAAAGCAGTTAAGCAAAGTTAAGATCATACAATTTAAGGTACTTATACAAGAGTAAATAACTGAGTATAAGTGTCACAACTAAAGAATTACTATTCTCAAGGTATAATAAAGTCAAGAGATATTGCTTTCAATAAAAATCACAACACAAGATCTCCTACTCCTAAAAAAATAAAACTAACTATACCGGTTCAAACAAAATCCTTGAAAAAGAAGCGCGATACAAAGAAAAACCAATGGGGGAATTATTATACTACCTAAAGAAAATATTTTTTTTCTTCGACTTTAAAAATTTCAATCAAAAGAAACGAAAACACACACAAGAAACGAAAACAAATAGTTATTTACATGTCCCCATGATATACAAATAAAAAGCAAAAGGTAAAGGAAACTCCCCTGGACTTTTTTCGTTTGCGAGAACTTGTGAACTCCACCCCTAATTCTGAATTCATTTTTCGTTTTCGCTCCTCGGGATTCTTTATGGAGCTCATCAGGCCAAAGTCATTTAAGGATATTTGTAAGACCCGCTCTTTTCTTTTTTTCTTGGCCTCATTTTGAGCGGTGAATTGTTCTTATAGGATTATCCTCAACTTGTTTCTGCATTCATTCATAAGATCAATCCCTACATATTCCTATAAATCCTCCAAAATAAAATCCACATGATCAAGGTTAGAATAAGAAAATGAAGAAGAAATTCCTTTGGTATGTTCAAGACCATTTGTTCCTCATTCTCTTTTACTAAAATTTTTAAATATGGATAGGTGGATGGGGATTTGAACTCTTCTTTTATTGATGCGCAATCAACCAAAGTCTCATCTTCAATCATCTCAGTTGAAAAAGAGTCCTCTTGAAGAGTGAAAAACTCTCTTTGTAGATGTTCATCATCTCGGGTAGGCTAATTCTCACAGGGAATCTCCTCCATATATTCACTATCACAATGCAATGACCTTTCTGAAAGTGTACTTATTAGTTGATTCACTTGCATTGTTAGGTTGTTAGTGGCTTCATCATCGCGTGTAAATCTCTCTTCCACCTTATTAATGAACTTATATATAAGATCTTCTAAACTAATATTCTCCGCTTGAGGTGATTGTCTCACTTCGCTTACATTCCAGTCATAATAAGGGTATTCATCCCAACCAGAGTCAGAATTGTGTCCATATGAATCCTCATACCTGTACGGACTAGAGATAAAGTGAGAGTGTTCAAAAGATGAACCATAAGAAGAATACCTACCTACTTGACAATCAACCCATAGATGATTTCCACCGCATTTAAAATATATACCACACCGCTGATAATATTTAGCTGCTAACTCTTCTACCATTTTCTCAGGCTGGTTGTACTCCATCTTCACATCTTTTAGAGTTAAATATCAAGAATATGCTCTTCAAGATTTCTTCAACAAAAGAAATCTTGAAGAGAAGTTCACCAAACAAAACTAAAAATAAAAGAAAAGATTAGAAGCTAATTCCTCAATTAGCACTACAAACTATTTTAAACACTATTGATTTTTAATCCCCGGCAACGACACCAAAATTTAACGAGCGTAAAATACACACTTAAATTGTGCTCGCTAGTCAAAGATAGTATAGTATAATATCGTATTCACATGGATTAGATTTAAACAATACTCTCGTAATTTCTAGCTTGATTGCCACTAGGAGGATCAACAGTTGAGATTTATAAGATTAATAATAAAATTTAACTAAGACTCTAAAATCTACAGCTATTGACTAGTGACTATCGAAACTAGGAATAAGCAATTAAGCTTATTAGTGGATGTGGATAAGGTTTTGACAGAATAAGTGCAAGATAATTGTTCGTGATCTAACTCTAGATAATTCACTTTCAATGTTTAGGTGAGTCTCTCGAATTACTCTATTATTAATTCAAACGTTCAGCAAAAACTCCTCTCTCGATTAAGTCTTAACCTCACGAGATGAACCAATTTAAGCACTGTGAAGATATGCAAGAATGCGTAGTGGATCGGTCTTTAGGAAAACCTCTTTCGATTATTCTCCTAACTAGATTTAATCAATGATTCAACTAGCCTTTTTCGATTACTTAGAAGAATCTATGAACTCAACCAACAATATAATGCAAAGATATCACAACTTATGCCTCTTTCGATTACAAGAACAAGTGAATATAGATGCAACAATTAAATCTCCTAAAAACAATTCAAATACATAAAAATAGAGTTATAATCCACAAACAATCATCAATATACCAAATCCATCAAAACCCAAAAGGATCTACTCCATAGACATGGAGAAGTTCTTCACAAATGTAACTAAAGTATAGGAAAATATAAATTCAATCCAAACCCGGATCTTGAGTGAGGAAGGAATGATGAAATCCTTGTGCTTGTGTTCTTCCAACTCCTCCTTAGCCTCCTTAGGTCGAAATTCGATCAAAAGTCCCGAAAATGATATTTTCTCGTCTATTTAAGCCATCCCCCAATAATCCCCAGACGAAATTACCCTTTTTAGCGGAATTGGGAAGTCAAAATATTGTTTCTAACCACTTTTTGCACTAGCGCCCCGCGGGGCATGCCGCGGGGTCGGTAGTACAAATTGTGGCCAAAAATGAGTTTTTCAGATTTGTGACATCCAGACTTGGTTTTCGACCCCCGAAACGTGATCCCAGCTTAATTGCTTGGGCTTCTACTTAGACTTCAAAGTTCGAAATAGCTCGAATTAGCTCCACAACATCTACATAACTCGGAATCACTCCTACAAGGCATAAAACACATAATAAGTACAAAACACTACCAATTAAAGCTCAACACAAGTAAAGTGCAGTGAATTATAGTGCAATAAATGACTAAAATACGGGATTATAGCCTACCATCAACACCCCACACTTAAACTATTGTTTGTCCTCGAGCAATCAAACTACACTTCATATAGACACGACCTTTTTAAACAACTCTCCTAACTCATCATTCCAAGAATAATCAAACAGATTAAGCACAATACTGTAACATCCTCGTCTCAAGAGTTGACTCAACATCATCACACATTTTTCACAACCTGCTCACTTACTCTAACATAGACGTCAGTGACATTACCTTTCCTTCATGAACCAAGTGCCCTCACACAACAATAGAGAGTAGTTCCACACACAATAAAGTTTAAGAACAATTAGGAACTCAAGATAGGAAAAATTCGCTCTCTCTCAAAAATAACATTCATGTACTACAAAGGATGTACCATATGCTTGCCCGTAATGTACTACTCTATTAATTGAGCTCATTCAGTCAAGGATCAAGTAAGACTTTATTTGGTTGTAATGTAATCTGCGGGATGGGTAGGATATATTTGATATAAACGTGACTATACCTCCCTAAGCACTTTAATACATTCAATTTAACCAGTTAAAACTCCATACTTATGCCAAATCATAACTCCACCTTCACATCAAAAACGAAATTGCATTAAGCAGGTTGACCACACAGCTAAATAAAATTCCTAACAATTTTCTCAAACAGTGAATTTATAGAGCAATACTCGGTATACGTGTCACAAGGGTTGAGAAACTCCACCACTACATCTCAAAAGGAAGGGCTAAGAAACTTCTGTACGTTCCTCCTCCTGGTTTGTACTTAGCGATATTCGAAATTTAATGTCTCACAACATTATACTCTATCTGTTTGCGGTCACTGCAATGGTAAAACCAAGGAAGGAACTACCCAAAACCAAAAAACATAACAGATTTCCAGTTCTCAGCACATGTCCACACTGTTCACGGAAGTTTCACTATAACATTTTAGGTCTTTAACCACAGTTGAAAAGTGTGGTTTATACTCAGTGGCGAAATCAGAAAATTCAACAAGGGTGTTCAAACCTTTGCCAGTGGGCTATATAAGGGTGTTCAAAGTCTATTTTTAATCAATAACAAGTAGTATTTTATCTTATACGGAGTATAATTTTCCGGCGAAAAGTGGTCAGTTGACCACCCTTACACGTAGCTTCGCCCTTGCTTAAACTAACCGAAAGTGTGGCATTTTGGGACCTAAGACAATGCTTTTTGAGGGGTGGCCTATATGAGCGTAACCTTTCCTCTAAGACAAGGTTTTGTAAGTGTTGCTTTAGAAGCTATACTTGAAAAACGTGGCCTAAAAATTAATAAAGGCCACGCTTGAAGTACCCTCTATGGTAACACTTTTCGGTACTACAGCAACACATGAAAAACGTGGCCTTTGTTACTCTTTAAGTCACGCTTGAAACCGCTGCTTTTGCTACTATATAAGACACAAATTTTCCAATCCCTATGGCCACACATTTGAAGTGTGGCAATTGTGTCTAAGCCATGAAGTAATTTGATTTATATATTTCTATAATCCATGCGTTTGTGTTCAATAAAATACATTTTTTATATATCCCATAATCACATACGAAGATCTCAAGCACTCAATTATATAAAAATAACAAAAGAATAATTCCAATGTATATAGTTGCAATGAACTTCAAAAAAGATTAAATCTTGTGTAATACAACAAAGCAAATTATTTCAAGGTTCATGCTTGTAACTTTACAAAATCAAATGTATTATTGTAGTATCAGGAATTACAAAAATCGTAATTGTCTAAAGTCTTCATCGTTAAATTCTAATAGATCAAATAGTCTTTTGGCACTATTTTTAATTGCCCAACAAAACTTTCCTATAAAATAAAATTAGTAATTAGATAGAAATCCATAGTATGCAAGTGCAAACTCAGAGCAATGTGGTAGAGTTTGCCCCTTGGGAACTCGGAACAATACTATCACATATAAGTAAGAGATATACATATACACGACTAAAACAAATGACAAAAGTAGAGGAAATCTATACATGTTACAGTGCTGAGATGAAAATGTAATCGAATGATTTGAGTAACAGAACATATGGAAAAAAATCATGCTTTATTGGCCTTCCTCATTTGTTTTCTTAGCATCCATACATCTAGTTATATTCTCTCTAGAGTAGTATGATTCTGTTGCTTCCTTTCGTTTAATTGGTATATAATGATGGACAAACTAGATTAGTGGATTTCTTTTTCAAAAGGTGAGTACCTCTTACAAGTGACTATAATCACTTAGCTACCATTGATATCTTAGAATCTGGCAAGAAATTAAAAGCGTAGGTACAACTTCTATTCTATCAACCCTCCAATTTGTACAGAGACAATACTTAAAAACATCCATCAGACAATATGCTAACTCAATTTTACCCTCAGGCAATATTAGTCTCTACATTTTAAATACCTATAATAGCAAAGATAATCATGTAGATCTCTATTCATATAAAAGCTGAGCTAAACAAAGAGAATGGAGGGCATTTAAAATGTGTTGTATAATTGAAAGTGATTGAAATAGATATACTTGTTGGGAAGTGAATACCTTTATTCACTTGGCATCCTCTTTCAATTCATAATTGTTGGGGTTACCAGGAAAAATCTCATTTCAAGATATCTGAAATTTTATTCTCAAACAACAAGATTTGTATTTGTGTACTTCCCATTCGAGCAAACAGAAAATAAGATAGTAAGTCAAAGAAGACAAATCCAAATTTACCTCTTCAGTTGAACTCAAAGGAAGATCTTAAGTTGAGACAATACACAATAGAGACCAAATCAACAATAGAAATCTGCAAGTTTCATATGTCAAGAGATAAAGAATGAAGGAGAAAGTCGACAAATTGTGTATTATGCTCAACTAATCAATATACTGCAGAACATTTCCTTTCCAAAGATGGCACACACAAAGTTTGATTACCTGGTCGATATATATTCGCTATCAACTAATCCTCCTACAATAATTTTAAGGAGAGAAGGAAGTTAATAGCAAAAAAGTCAGTTTACCCAGCTTTACCTACCAAACATGCCAGTGAATAATGCCTTAACATACCTCTGAAGTACCTTTATCCTTTTTCTTTGCCTTCCTCACTTTTGCTCTATGTTGATCTTATTTGAGAACATGAAGAATCCTCTGTTCACTCCAGTGTCCACATGTATTATAACCTAAACTAAAGTAAGCAAGAACTGAATTGATGCAAAACACAATACAGTCACAAGTAGGACAATATCTTTAGAATCTGATATTCCAATCACAAAGTGAAAGTCTTAATAATATCAGAACTAAATACTGTGCTAGCATCGAAAATAAATAGTATGCGTCAATTGATATGCCAAATTGATCTACCTAACTCAGATATTGCCAAGTTTATTCAATATCAAACTAGAGCCTCTGTCTTAGCTTCAAAAGCTATACAATTAATAAGTAGCGAGAGAGAACAAGAATAAACTACTAGACAATAGAATGTCAGAACAAGAATTTGTGCCCAGATTGTATAAACGTAAAAAGTTATTCTCCTCCAAAAATACAAGCGAAGGTCATCCCTCCCCCTTATGGGCTAGAGAACTGTCATATAACTAAGTGATTGAACTCATTTTACAATTGAGAAAACCAAATCCCATTGTAATTAAAGTATATTCATCACTATCTCATATTTATATCAATAATGCATAAAGCTTCATAAGAAAAATACCATATCTTCTTGCATATCTTTTAATTATCAAACCTTATAAATAGCAAAACATTTTAGTTTCGACTACCAAGCCTCAATGTATTCTATCAAGTCATAAGCATTTATACGTTTATGCTACAAAAACTTTATGTCAAACTTAAGTAGAAAACTTGGACTAACATTTTGAACTCCACAATTGGAAAGTAACACTATAATGCTTCAAATGCAAAACAAAAATATACAAAGCACTGAAGAAAGTAATTTGACAACAAAAGGACGTAATAAAAGTTTTACTATGGAATGAAGCAATGGTGGACCTGAAATCGTATTGTACGTACAAACCAACAAGTTATGAAAATATATAAGCATATAGGATACCTTCTTAACGCTTCACTTCCTTTTCAAACACTCATTATTTCTTTCTTTCCATCCATATTTGATACTAAATTTATGCTTCCTACTAATTCTTTCAAATTCTTACTATTTATCCAACAAATTTCACTTTATTAATTGGCTTCAAAACCAAAATGATTTTAGCAGTAAGGATAGGTCAGACAAACATTCCATCAAGCAGATAATATGCAATGGTCAATCCCAAAGAAATTCTGCAAATATGCAAAGCTAGTATAGAAATGTTTAAGATCTGAACACAAGTAAGTTTAAACATAAGACTAATACTATGAAACAAACCCGAATGAACCCTGTGTTTGAACTTTGATACTATTGAGATTTTCTTTTTCTCGTTGAATTTCATTGAAGCAAATATTGGCATATATAAGAGCACATTTCAGAAAGAAAAAGAAACATCGCTGCAAATTTTAGGGTCGAGGGAAATTCGGCACAGGAGGTGGTAGTGCATGTCTATGGAGATTACGGTGGAGGTGTGCAAAAAGGAAAACCTAATGAACTGATGTCTCGATTTTAGGAGGGAAATCTTTGCACTTTGAAAATGAGGGGAAATGTTTCACGGGAAATTTTAAAGGCGCGGGGCGTGGGGGTGGGGTGGGGGGAATTTATTGAATTTCATTAGCGCACACTATTTGCTTTTAGAATTACAAATTTAGCTCACTTTAAAAGAGTCACAATATAAATGAATTAGTGTTGCCAATTAATTTATGTTTGGCAACACTTAAGTTGCGTTGTCTTTCAATTTAAAAAGAACGCTTTGCAAGCGTGGCTATAAAATGTGTTGCTAAAAGCTATCAGCAAAGGCCACCCTTGAAAAGTGTTCCCACATATTAGTTTTGAAAATACTTTTTAAGCTTTGTCAAATGTTAGTGTGCCCTTAGGCCAGATTTGTTGTAGTGTTTGGATTGACAGATTAGTTTGTGCATGTTGACATCCGCAAGAGTTGTCGCCGCCGCTGCTGCCACCACTGTCAGGGCAGCTAATCGCAAAAAGAAAAAAGGGAAAAAATGATCACAGCGGTGAAGGGATATAATTGATTGATTTCATTTTAGTTCTTAATATTTCGTTTAACACAATGGCAATTACTGACATGTTTGATGTTTAGCTATTAAAGTACTTTGATATGCTTGAACCTCATAAGTGTGTATTGTATACGGTTAAAATCGGGCATACCCGATTTTTCTATGCTGACCGAGACCAAAAAGTTGCATCGAAGTTCGACCACGGGGTACCGAACTCGGGATTCGAGACACCTGCTAAGATCGAGGCCGACAACAATCAAGACCAAACAAAACAGGCATCGAGCGATACCGAAGATAGCGTAATAACGGAAAAGCGAGATATTCACGACTGGTCGAAGGTCACGGCGGAAATCTCGGAACGAATCGAATCAAGAACGATTGTTTAGCTAATTATGGAATTTCCCTTTGTAATTAGAATTGTACCATCTATAGAATTCCTCTACTATATAAAGGGGAGTTCTAACTATTTTATGACAAAAAATGATACAAAAGCAATATAATTTTCTTTCTCGCTCGCATTTTTTTTCTTCAGCTTATTGTATTTTTATTGTCCTTGCATCAACCAGTTCGAGGATACTCTAACTCAAGGGTTGAGTTCTACTCAAATTCTGGTTTGATTTACTTTATTGTACAATTCTATCATTAATCTTCACATATTTCAATTGGTATTAAGTGAAATCACGTATCCTTAAATCCACATTATAAGTTTAATTGTTATCCAATTTTAAGGGTAAATAGTTTGGCGCCCACCGTGAGACTAAGGATAATAGTAATTGCTAAATACTAATTTCAACAACACACACTGCTTTATATATTTGTTTTCAGGACAAACATGTCAAACTCACAAGCAACACCTACACATGGTGACAACAACCTTGGATTTCATGGGGAAAACGACAACATAGCCGCCCCAGGAATCGAGATGCCTTAGGCCGACCTCGAGGGAGCACCAATTGCAAATCCCGTCGATGTCAGTTCACATGTCGCCCTAAATGCAAATTTGGGCGTTGAGCCCGAAGGTAGTATACACAGGGAAGTTCGATCAGGTGGTCGAGATACACAAAGCAGAGAAGATGGTGGAGTTAGCCTCCAATTGATATTTGAAATGTTACAGGATAAATAGGCCGTTATAGCACAACTACAAAATCAACACCGAACACCGAGTAGAATCGAACCAGAAGTCATTCAAAGGACCGAGCCTGTGATGGAAAGGTCAAATGTCAACGAATTGGGGACTGACCCCGCCATTATGAAAATGTTCGAGGAGCTCACTAAACGGATTGAATCGGAAGAAAAGAAAATCGAGGCAAATGACAAGAAAGTAGAGACATATAACTCTTGGGTTGACCAAATACCGGGGGCACCACCGATTTTAAAAGGTATGGATTCAAAGAAATTTGTACAGAAGCCTTTCCCTCCTAGTGCGACACCGAAACTCATTCCAAAGAAATTCCGAATGCTAGAAATTTCTAAGTATAACGGGACCACTGACCCTAATGAGCATGTCACTTCTTATACATGCACAATAAAGGGAAATGACTTAGAAGACGATGAGCTTGAATCTGTTCTACTAAAGAAATTTGGAGAAACCTTGTCGAAAGGAGCAATGATATGGTACCACAATTTGCCGCCTAATTCCATCGATTCCTTCGCCATGCTTGCAGACTCCTTCGTAAAGGCACATGCCGGAGCAATAAAGGTCGCGACTAGAAAATCGGACCTCTTCAAGGTGAAACAAAAAGACAACGAAATGTTGAGGGAATTCGTATCTCGATTTCAGATGGAACGCATGGAACTACCACCAGTCACTGATGATTGGGTTGTTCAAGCCTTTACTCAAGGTTTGAACGAACGAAGTTCGGTGGCATCACGACAGCTAAAGCAGAATTTAATTGAATATCCAGAGGTAACCTGGTCCGATGTACATAATCGGTACCAGTCGAAGATCAGGGTCGAGGATGAATTGGGGATCCTTTCCGATTCCGTTTATCTAAACAGGACTGTTGGCAGAACTCAAAGGGATATCGACAGAGAACCCCGGTCGAGTAGAGGTCGGTATCTACCATACAACGCATATCGTAGAAACAGCGGCCTAGGACGCAATCCCATCCGAAATGTTCGAAGGAACGATCGAAGATAGAGCTCTCGAGGGCTCATGAGCAAAAGTGGCTTCGATAAACATGCCAATCCCACAGAAGCACCACGATTGACAGAATACAACTTCAGCATTGACGCATCAAGTATTGTGTCAGCCATTGGGAGAATCAAAGATACTAGATGGCCCAGACCCCTACAAACCGATCCATACCAAAGAAACCCCAATCAAACATGCAAATACCATGGTACACATGGTCATAAAACCGAAGATTGCAATCAACTAAGGGAGGAGGTGGCCCGTCGATTCAAAGAGGGTCATCTTCGAGAATACTTGATTCACATGATCGTTGGCGGGGTCGATATTCCACAAGGGCCCGTGTTTAAACGCACTAAAGTATCAATCACCAGAGGAAAACGAACTCGAGACTATGTGCCCGAAGGTGCTTTATCATTTAATAATGAGGAAGCAGAAGGGATCTCACAACCCCACAATGATGCTTTGGTAATTTCTATCCTTATGAATAAAATTCAGGTTAAACGTGTTTAAATTGATCCAGGAAGTTTGGCCAATATTATTCGATCGAGGGTCATGGAGCAGCTCAGCCTACAAGATCAGATCGTACCCGCAACTCAAATTCTCAATGGCTTTAACATGGCAAGTGAAACAACTAAAGGTGAAAGCATCCTACCAGTAAATGTAGCTGGAATTATTCAAGAAATAAAGTTCCATGTGATCGAAGGCAATATGAGATACAACGCACTGCTCAGAAGACTATGTATTCACAATATGAGGGCGGTCCCATCAACCCTTCACCAAATGCTAAAGTTTCCAACACCGGATGGAGTAAAAAACGGTGTAAGGGGTAAAGTATGCTGCCAAAGAGATGTTCGCGGTCGACGAAGTCATACCGGTATAGGCGTTTTCGTCAACAAAAGGATCAGAATCCAGAGGAAAAAAATAAAGCTAAATAGCAACCACAGCTACCGGCTTCGACTCAATGAAAGAAGCAGGGAACGAACGAAGACGATGGATATTGGATCCCTCGATCCTTCATAATCCCCGAGTATTCCGACGCCACCAAATCGACGGTCGAGGAACTGGAGCAATTCGTACTGATCGAGCATCTACCCGATCGAAAGGTATACCTGGATATGGGGTTAACCCCCGAGCTCAGGGAAAAACTCATCAAATTTCTTATCAATAATATGGATTGTTTTGCTTGGTTCCATTTAGATATGACAAGGATCCCGCCATAAATCGTTGCACATCGACTAAGCTTGGACCCAAAGTTTCGCCCGTTAAAATAAAATAGAAGACCCCAATCTGAGGTAAAACATGCTTTCATCAAGGACGAGGTAACCAAACTTCTCATAATAGGATCCATTCGGGAGGTAAAAACCCCTAATGGTTAGCAAACGTAGTCATAGTCCTTAAAAAGGGAAATAAACTTAGAATGTGCGTAGACTATAAAGATTTAAACAAAGCATGTTCTAAAGACTTTTTTCTTCTGCCGAATATCGATCGCAAGATCGATGCCACGGCCGGCCACGAGATCCTTAGTTTTCTCGATGCCTACTCCGGGTACAATCAAATACAAATGAACCCGAAAGATTAGGAAAAGACTTCGTTCATCACTAAATATGGTACCTATTGTTATAATGTAATGTCGTTTGGACTAAAAAATGCTGGTGCCACTTATCAACGCTTAGTAAATCGAATGTTTGACGAACAAATAGGTAAGTCAATGGAAGTTTATATTGACGATATGCTAGTTAAGTCCCTGCGAGCAGAGGACCATTTGACACATTTGCAGGGGACTTTCGATATAATAAGGAAATACAACATGAAACTCAACCCGGAGAAATGTGCATTCGGGGTCGACTAGGGCAAATCCCTCAGCTTTATGGTATCAAATCGGGGTATCAAAATCAATCCCGATAAGATCAAGGCGATCAAAGACATCACAGTCGTGGATAATGTTAAGGCCGTACAAAGATTAACAGGGCGCATAACCGCCCTAGGCCGATTCATCTCGAAGTTTTCAGATAGAAGTCATAGGTTCTTCTCATTAGCTCAAAAAGAACAATAATTTTGCATGGACCCCGGAATGCCAACAAGCATTGAAAGAACTAAATCGGTACCTCTCAAGCCCGCCACTGCTTCATACTCTGAAAGTGGATGAACAACTATACTTGTACTTAGCGATCTCGAAAATCGTGGTAAGTGGGGTTCTAGTTCGAGTAGAAAAAGGTACGCAATTTCCTGTTTATTATGTTTGTCAAACTCTAGCTGAGGCCGAGACCCGGTACCCACACTTAGAAAAATTAGCGCTCGCCCTAATAAGCGCCTCTAGGAAATTAAAATCATATTTTCAGTGTCATCCGATCTGCGTGGTGACTGCCTATCCTCTTCACAATATATTACATAAGACCAAATGTTCGGGCCGATTGGCCAAAT